GCCCACCTATCCGTCATGTATATACACATCGCCCACGCGTACCAGCTACTACTCCTCCGGCTACATCTCCGTCGACGGATCCGGCACCAGACCCGCACTCAGCATCTGAGCTTGACCTTCCCATTGCTTTGCGGAAAGGTAAACGCACTTGCACCTTCATCCTATTTCTAATTATGTTTCACTTACTCACCTTTCCACTTCCCATCGCCAGTTTGTCACCTTGTTATCATCAGTTGCTGTCCCTAAGGATGTCCAGGAAGCCCTTGCCTCTCTAGGGTGGTGCCGAGCCATGGAAGAACTCTCTGCCCTTCATGGGAAGCAAGCTGTTGGTTGTAAATGGGTTTATACTGTTAAGTATCTGCCTGATGGTAGTGTTGAACGCCTGAAAGCGCGATTGATTGCAAATGGGTACTCCCAAACCTATGGTATTGACTACACAGAGACCTTCTCACCGGTTGCTAAGATAGGGTCAGTTCGTGTTGYGATCTCTCTTGCAGCCATGTATGAGTGGCCACTATATCAGCTTGATATCAATAATGCCTTTTTGCATGGTGACTTACTCGAGGAGGTCTACATGGAGCAACCTCCAGGGTTTGTTGCTCAGGGGGATGATGGTAAGGTGTGTATACTAAGAAAGGCTATATATGGGCTTAAACAGTCTCCTCAAGCGTGGTTTGGTAGGTTCAGTGAGGTGGTAAAGAAGTTTGGTATGAAACAGTGCAAAGTTGACCATTTTGTATTTAGTCATGACTCTCCGGGAGGAAAAATACTATTGGTGGTGTATGTAGATATTGTTATTACTGGAAATGATAACATGGGTATTGACAGGCTGAAGACTTATCTGCAGGATCACTTTCAGACAAAGGATCTTGGTAAACTGAAATACTTCTTAGGGATAGAGGTAGCAAGATCCAAGTATGGTATTAACCTGTGCCAAAGGAAATATGTGCTTGATTTGTTGGAAGAAACAGGCTTGTTGGGTGCCAAACCAGCTGAAACACCCATGGACACAAATACCAAGCTAAGCAATGATATGGGTGAAGTGTTTGAAGACCCTGGCAGATACCGACGACTTGTGGGCAAACTGAACTACCTAACCATTAC